CCGGTAAAGCCTACGCTACTCTTAGCTAAGTAGTATATAGTAAGCTAGGAGTATCTTAGCACTATTTAATCTATAAAGCCTAAGTACTCTACTAAAATAGAGATTAATATCTCTAGTATTTTTAGAAAATAGAAATAGTATAGTAAGGTTACCTATAAGCCTATCTTAGAGTCTATAGCTAACCTTAGTATAGCTACTATAGTAAGAAGGAGGTTAGTAACTAAGCTGTTCTATATAATAGGTATATAACTAGTTGTTGATTTAAACTACATTCTTGATGTATTCGTCGAGTGTCTCCGGCTAGCATAGGCGGAGTATTGACCTAGCGATGTCTTATAGCTTGTTTACTTATAGCTTACTCCTTAATGTAGCTGTGCTATATTCTTCATCAACGGTCGATAGGTTATATATATATATATCACGTTATTGGTAGCTAGTCTGTTATTAAACATAGCATCGCTTATATAGAAATATTAATACTATATATAAGGTTTCACTTATTTATTACTTACTTTCTTTCGACGGTCTTCTATATAGATAACATCTTTTATATTATCCTTTAAACTACGATAAAACATTTCTATTAAAAGTGCGTTATTAAATGTGAATTTTCCGGCAATAGCGTGAAATTATACTGTATATTCTGAGGTAGATCTTATCTGTCGGAGCTCTCTAAACTGGTCTAAGCCTTGCTCCGGGTGGTTAAGGTAGGGCGCGATCGTTTACGTAGAACGCGGCTGCTGTTAGCATGTATTATGTTAGAAACGTAAAGGGACTATAACTAGAGGAGGGGGGTTACGCGTAATAAGTAAAGCAGCAGCTTATCAAAATCATTATCTACATTCTATATAGTAAAAACTCTATATTTTCTCGTAGACCGTAGCTATAAGATCTGGTAAAAACAACCTTTTAGTATACTCTAGCCTCGGAAGATATATAAAAGAACGTTAACATTCTACTTAAGTAGTAGGCTAGGGGTAAGGTAGAGTGAAACAATCTACCTCTATCCTTTACGTAGCTAATCATCGCTACCGTAGACAGTTAGTTATCCTTCTAAACCACATCCTTTCCGGCGCCTTTGCGTGTGCTAGAGGGGGATAAGGGAGACGACGCGGTGGTAGCGGCAGTTGTTTCGCTGCTGTCCCGCTTCCTTCTTATCGTCGTTATTTCCTCGAGGTTATCGTCGCTAGGGCAGCTGAAGTTAAGCTGGTTATAAGTACGCCTCGTAAGATACTATACTATACTTATGATTAATAAAATATAGGCTCTCCTACGTAGTAGCATTTATACTTACTATATCTGGTAGTAGGGATACAGTAGAATATATAGAACTTAATTTATTATCGCTAGTAGGAATTGTCGTCGGTATGAGTTTAGCAATAGGCTTAATGCCGATTTATTATAGCTTATTTCGCATTACGGGTACGAGGTCGTCTAGGACAGTGTCTTCCTACTCCCTCTAGAAAGTACATCGCTTCTAATAAACCTTTAATTAATAATGTCTAGAAACTTATTAAATGTATTAATATAATTAGGTAACTAGAGTTTAAAGAGCTAAAAGTCGATTAAGCAGAAGGTTTTAAGTATAGATATCTATCTATGAAAATAGTACTATAGTAGTAGTATATTCAAGTACTAAGTATATAACGACTAAGGACTACTTGTTAACTATTTTATTTCTCTTGCTTAAGCACCACTCCGCCGATCGGCACTGATATGAGGCTGTATGGCTTGTAGGGTACTCTCTCCTTCTCTGGACTTGAACGTTTTGTTCATCTATCTTCCATCTTAGCTTATTCTTTAATTCATTCTTTTCCTTGTATGAGCTCTCCTCAGTGTATTGCGGCGTGTACCCCATCAAGTATACACTTATATGACCTCCTGAGTGAATGATCGCGTGGTATATCACTCCACAGCTAGAGTATAGGTCATTGAAAAAGTTCATTTGGCTCATGTCGACTGTGAACAAGTCATGACTATTTTTGTAGAACAGCGCACATGTTTCTACTGTTCCCAGTGACCATAGTGTTTCAACAGGAAGAAGGCGAGTAGTGGCCACAGTGAAATTGGAGTGATTTTGTTGAAAGTGGTTTGATCGGTGGACCAGATACTTCTCTAGGTCGAGATTTTCGAGTTCATCAGTGCCTAAGGTCTGACCACAAGCCTTAACTAAGAGCAGAGCCTGGAGAGTCGCAGGTTGGCTGTGTTTTTCGCGCTTGTCAAGGTCGTATGCGTATTTAAGATGTGACCCAATGAGAATAAGGTCAATCTCATCTTCGTTGTATTCTTTTAAAGTTTCACAATTTTTTAGTTCGTGCCATATTTGGTCTAGGTCACGTGGACGGAGCACCGACCCCCAAACTCTCGCATGCCGCTCTATGTTCACTTGTTCTTGGTTTGTCTCGGAAGCCGAGAAGAGTCTCATCCATCTACTAGATACCATTCTGTTTTTGGCTTTCTGCTGCTCCGGCAGTTCCTCGGCCACTTTCCACCATAGTTCCGTAGGCAAATCCTGTGCAGCTTGGCTCATGCTAGTTTCGTGTGGCGCGATTCGAGATCTCGCGGCCGCTGATATGTTTCAGGACAGATCAACAGCCGCGGATGGTTATATATACTAGTGCAGCATCGATTGTTGACCAATCTTCCCCATTTCGAGTGCCATTTGTGGCCGACTTATTACCGACCTTTTTCCCCGAAAAGGAGCAATACGGTACAAAGTAGTCCAGGTTTAGCATCCATAAACCGATTATAGCCAATTTTGGTCAGTGGCCTAAATATGCTGAGATAGGTGCCCCCGCGCCTGCCCCACCCGCCTTATCTAGATTTTTTTACATCGAAATGGGGGACACTGAACCTT